GATTAAAACGGATAACGGATAAGTAAATAGGCTATCCGGATGAGTTAAACGGATATCCGGATGATTATAATTTAAACAGATATGGATAACGGATAAGCAACTGCTTAACGGATACGGATAACGGATAAGGACATGGGATATCTGGATAAGCTAAACGGATATTCGGATTATCCGGATCCAAGCACTATAATAACCTAAACACATCAAAAAAGTAATTCTAACCCTAACTCCACTTTAGCCTTCTCCATTCCTGGTTTTACGCAACTGCATTAGCAGCTACTTATGTGATAATTCAGTAATCATATATGATAAGCAAAGATTTTGATTGGATGTTTTCACAAATTATTTCTTTATTTAGAGGTCGTCTAGAGCTATGTACCCACGTGACTTTTTGTGTTGATCAACTAATTAAAATTGTGAAATTTTGTTTACACAGATTAGTAAAAAATGAATAAAAAGTTTAAAAAAATATTAAAAATATCAAAAACAGTAGGTGAAGCGTCACTAGCATCCCTGTTTTATGATATAATTTTATTACAAATTGCATTAAATTGCAGCATTGAAATTTAAAGGTTTCACTCAAGTTTTAGAGATTTTATCAAGTTTTGGAAGTTTTACCTATTTCAGAAATTTCAAATTTTATTTCACTTCAGAGGTTTTTAACTTCACCTTTCAAATTTTAGAAATGAGTTTCACTTACAACACTAATATCTGTATAAAGCTTAGGTTATCTAACTATTTTTTTCAACAGTCATTTTTTGATAAATCCGTTGGATATTTGATCAAATATAATGACAAATATAAGTGATTAAGTAAATTTATATTTTGAACTTTAAAATTCATATATTTGAGGGCGTGACAAATATTTATGTGATGAATAAGCATTAGCTATATAAATAATATAGCTAATAGTTATTTATCATTCCTATGATTGGTCACACCCTTTGCACTGCGGATTTGAACAGATATTTTGACCAAATACAAAATCTAGTAGATTTTGAAAAATCCCATCAGATATTTGCTAGATCCAAGCATTACATCTATACATGCCTTTTTCTGACCGATTCATAGCTAGTCACTAAAATTTTTTTCGAATTAAAAACTTAGTTTGGGCATATATTTTAACTAAGGAGGAGTTGTGTGTTTCACTTCTTTTCATAGAACCAAATATCTATTACATTTAAAATACATAATTTCTGTATAAATATCCTTTCAATTCAAAACTCTTAACAAGCTTACACAACTCAAAACACTCTGCAATTTACAGCATAGTTCTTTTTCGTAATGCTTTTTCATGGAAGAACTCTAGAGTATATTAGTTATATGTAAATTAGAATTGGTTTCTGGTTAATATAAGGTAATGAGTCAGTATAAACGCACCAAATCTTTTTTAGTGAAATATTTTTGCAACTTTAAACAGGTAACTTGACAAGAAATTATTTAAATTTAATAAAAAAAATTTTTTTTTAAATAAATTCTATAAGATTTTAGAATTAAAATTATTAAATATGGTTAAGTTATTTGGGTTTAAGTTTCAAAAAAATTTACTTAGAAAAAATTTGGTGCGTTTCTAATGACTCAACTCCATATAGTGAACCTATTCCGATATGTCTTTTCACTGATATTTATATGAATAATGTTTCTTATCGAGCAATAATAAAAAAAAGGATACCGAATTAACAAATTATTCTTCCGTAGTTAATTAAAATTAGATTCACTAATGGCAAATTTTAGCACTTATTTCACTGAGGAAATTAAAAACACAGTATATTGGAATTGTAGAGCGAAAAACCAGTAAATCTTGAATTTCTAATTTAACACTTCACGGATTATGGCTTATAAATCGCGTAAACTGCGTGCTTCATACGTGTAAATACATATCTGATATGTCCTTTGAAACCTAAAGTTTCTTAAGTGCAAAGTTCAATTTAGTTATCCTCACTTATAAAAAGAATTTATTTTGTAAAGTAGTATTTTTGGTAGTGCAATTTCAATTTAAAGTTGTGTTGTCGGTTGTCGTAATAAACGTTTAGCATAGAAGTTAAACAATTTAAATGACTGAAACCCATTTTACATATATAATAAATGAATGTAATATTCAAAACAACAATATCATAGAAAGCAAGCATGAAATCTAAATTTCTAAAAAAAAAAAAAAAAAAAAAACGAGCAAATTATTAAGGAACAACCGCTTTTACATTAGCTTGATAATTTACGAGAGTAGTTTTTGCATGAATCCAGGACGCCAATAAAGATTGCATATTAAAATCATTTACTTCTACATTCCCTTTATTTGCATTGCTAATAAATTGTTGTGTAACTGAAATATGGTCAATTTGTCTTGCCCAAAAAATTTCAAAAAGCCCAACCTTATCATCAAAAAATTTCACATCATTCATCACATTTTCAATGTAATCGGTGCTTTTCTTTAATCTTATGATCTCATTTTCTTTTAATATCTTCTCTTGACTCAGATTCAAACTCAGCTTTCTTCCATAATACCACCCAAGAATACCACCTGTAGCAATCATCGAAATTAAACCTCCATTTGATTGTGGTGAAATAAAAACACCTATACCAATACCAATAAATATACCCGTATTGATAGCACTTAATTTTTCATATTTACTACGATACTGAATATTTGAAACTTCCTGTTCAAGAACATACTTTTCTTTTTCTAAGTATGATTTATGAGTTTGAAAATCATCTGAAATACGGTTTAAGTTGAGTGATATGTCTTTGTAACCTCTTCTAATTAAATCACATTCTTTCAAAATTTTTGACATGGTTAATTCAGATTTTGTTGAATAAGATACGAACTCAGAGTTATACAAATTAAGTTTTTCAAAATTTACTATGAACTCGGAGCGATTCAAATTAAGTTTTTCGAAATTTACTATAATCTGAGTTGTTAATTTAATTAAGTTAGAACATTGTAAACTGCATGCTTTTGTTAAAGTTTGAAATGTACGCCCTTGTATTCCTATATCATTGACGAGTCGAGAAAGGATTTCATCCTTAATTGTCGATGCAGGATAATTTGCAAATCGTTCAATTGTAGAAGCTTTTACGCCTTTCAGATCAATATTTGTTGGTGAAATAAAATTCCATTTATCTTGAATCATTATAAAAATATATATTCCAGTGACTTTAAACAAGAAAAGATTTGACAATACTTCGTTAGATAAGTGCATATTTTTGTTGTGAATTTTTGATTTATTATATTGAAGAAATAATAAGTCATACTATTATTATTATAATATCTTGTAATAATAAATTTTTTTTTTACTAAAGTCTTACCTAAAAATTCTGTTCTTTGAAAGGTGTTTGGCAAAGTTGAATGTATTACAAACAGTTGTGTTGTTAAATAGGATTTTTAATTTACGGCTGAAAAAAAAACCGGATAATCTGGATTTTTACTAGTGTCACGTGGGAAATTGGGTTCCGAGCTTCCTTTCCGGAGCTCATATAACTTAGCCGCAGCATAATTTCACGGCTAAGTAGATCTTCCACTTTTATAGGGAACCCGTGGTTATAATGGTTATAAGGGATATAATGGATATAATGGATATAATGGTTATAGTGGTTTTAAGGAATATAACCATTATCGCCTGTATAATCATTATAGCGGTTTTAAGGGTTATAGCGTTTATAATGGTTATAACGTTTATAAACGTTATAAAGGTTTTATTGAATTTAATGGTTTTATTCATTATATGTATTATAATGGTTTTAAGAGCGATAAACGTTATCGCCAAACCCATTGTTCCAACAAGTATATAAGCGGGCAATTCTGCCCTTTAATAAAAAACATTATTGATTTGATAAAACTTTCCTGCTCATAAATAAATTGTCAAAACCTTCCTTGACCCAAATAAATTCGCTAAATGATTCCCAACCCAATTATCGCTAAGTTAATAAACACAACTCAGATAATGTCACGCTGCCCATTTACTCTTTGTGATAGAGTAAAGTGTTGTTAAGTCATTGAGTAGAGAGAACTTGCCCAGTAAATCTTGTATTTGACTATCCTAAGAGAGAGAATAGGTCAACTTGAATAGATTAAGGGAAGTTAAGAGACTCAATAATGTTAAGACCAACCACATAACCAGAGTCCGAACGATAACTGAAGCCTTGGGATCTCCTTTGCTTAATCGCTACTTCATCTTTCGATAAGTTTTCTTGATATGTTATACAATAGATCAGAAGATTGAGTGACAGACTCACCATTTTCCCGGATGACACTAGCTATTTAAATCATTGATTCCTAAATGTAGCATCTGGTAAATTGAAACATATAAAATATAATAATAAATAAATAAATTACAAATTACTCTCGTTATAGTGAACTCTTGGTATAGTGAAGACTAATTAAAATCTCAATATAGTGAAGTTAAGCTCAAAGCCAGTCTATATAAAATTCTCTCGATATAGTGAATTTACTAATAAAGCTCTCTATATAGAGAATTTTTGAAAAATTTTTATTAATAGAACAGATCACTTTACTATAAAGAGAGTGACTTGTATCTTTATTTAATTAAACTTTAGTTAACAAGGTTTTCATCCAAAAATTAATCAACTAATTTAAGTGCCAGATTATTATTTTAGCAAATCGGTGTTGATGTTAACCAAATGATTAACTCAAAATCTTAAGTATTAAATTTACCTATACTATTTCAGTAAATTCTTATATTAAATTATATCAAGTCAAAAATTATAGTGTTTAAAACAAATACTTCAAACATATAATAATTTTGGCAGAAATTTAAATAATGAAAACATTGCTCTAAAGTGGCTTGAAACTATCTAACTAAATATCAGTGAAAAGACATATCGGAATAGGTTCACTATATGGAGTTGAGTCATTAGAAACGCACCAAATTTTTTC